TTAACTTTTTTTTTTACAGTGTGCTGTGACTGCTTCAAATTTGCAAGGCAATTTTTCTGGGTCTACAACATGGAGTGTCAGGGACTTATGAAATTTTATAGAATCTGAATATATCTAGAAGTGAAAATTAAATGGTTTACAGTATTTTATACCCATTAATAATGATGAAATGCAATAATATCACTGCACTAAAAAGACTTCAAACAATTATTGTTACTTCTCCATTGAAGGTTATGAGCAGACCAACCTTTACTGGCTTCCTTAATTATTACATGTACTTGCTCTGAAAACATAGCTTTTACAATTGTTTAAATTAACAGATGTTGTTCTATGTACAATGAATACATTTTAAATAATAAACCTTACTGTATTAATAAAAAATTGTATTTGACAACATGAGAATGATTCTGATGCCCAGTGGTGATGTTGAAACAAACCCAGGTCCTGGTAATATACTAAGACCTGATTAACAAAGAAGTCATGTACATCAAGGTTCACTCAGATTTATGAATGCAGTTTCTTGAGCAAGTATACATGTATGACAAATAGTTTTGTTGCACTTGTGTACTCTGAGATTCTGAACATGGGTCAGTGGAAGTTTTTAGTTGTCAGTACAAAACTAGATTATGGGAAATCACTTTATGATGAGTTGTACCCACATAGAGTACATATTCATTCACCTGTTTGCAGATGTTCCTTGTACTACTTTATAATCAAATAACGGGGACTGTGACATTTCATGTCTTGTTTGTCTACTGATGTGATGTATGCCATCACATGCCTACAATGCCCATCATCTATTTACATACATGAATAACCATAAATTAGTTACTGTTAAATAAGGACTCGATATACACTACATGTATGGATAATATTATCACTATGTAGACTAGGCTATTTTGTAACTTATCACTTATTTACATAAATTGTCCTACTCTACATAACTTTTGTACTCCCATTTTTGTGTTTATGTTAATTGTCTATGTTAATTAGTCAGTCAGCCATTCAACCTCATGCATCTGATAAAAAGTGGCTTGTTGCTACAAAAGCTATTACATGTATATCACTGTATTAATTGTATAGAATTGTAACCAAATAATATTAATTTATATATTTTAAATATATTCAAATCATATATACACATGTATCCCATTTAACTAATCGGTGTCACTTTATAAAGTAAATTTCTATAAAAGGGATATAACTGCACATTATGTTACTGGTAATTAGTATGCAAATTATATGCATAATAGTATGCAATTTAATTGCATCCCTGAAATAATTTTTTGAGAGAACACTTAGTCTTCATTGTTTTAGAACAATTTTAGTCAGAATTGTTTCTACCTCAATTTTAGCCAGTATTTTCCATGTATGTTTTTTCAGTATATTATCGTGTTGTTTTTGAATATTTAATTCTCACTTTTACCATACAAAAAGAAGATTTCATTAGATGGCATGTAATTTGAATTCATCCTGAATGCCTATTCGTTATTTGATTTAATACATTTTTTAATACCGGTAGGCAAGTTTTAATAGTTGTGCTATGTTTTAGTATGGATTGTTGATCTCAAGATGTAACACTATTTTCACGGCCTTGGTTTAAAAAATAAAGCTGTTAGAAAAATGAGGCTCTCTACTTCACACAGCAGCACAATATGCTATGGAGCCATAAGCTGCTCATAATACACATAGTTAAATTTGTGTGGCATGCAAATTGGTTTAAATGCATTTAAGGTTTTGCTACTCGTTATACATGTATAGTGGACAACACTGACATTCTATTACCCATTCTTATGACGTCACGTAACATCATGAAGTATGAAAAGCATGATAATTATCTTTAAAATTTATTCTTGTTTCCAGACTCAGAGCTGCTAATATGCTATTAGTTGGACTGAAAGGCGTTGGTGCAGAGGTCTGTAAAAATGTTGTATTGTGTGGATTGAAATCTTTGACGCTATTGGATCATTCAGTTGTCAGTGATGAGGATGCTTTTTCACAATTTCTTGTATGTAGGACTTCTGTTGGTAAAAACGTAAGTTTAAAAGTTATATGACTTCTTGAATCAGCATCATGTATATTTTATTTAAAAAAGAAATATTCTACTGTAATGTTATTTTTTCTTTGTTTTAAAACAGAGAGCTGAAGCTTCCGTACAGAGATCTGCAGAGCTAAATCCCAATGTGAAAATTATAGCTGATACTGACAATGTTGAGAACAAACCGGACGAGTTCTTCACCACTTTTGACCTAGTGTGTGTGACTTGTTGTAATCTGCAGACCATGTTGAGGATTAATGATATCTGTCGTCAAAATAAAATCAAGTTTCTTGCTACCGACGTCTTTGGTTATTATGGGTATATGTTTTCAGATCTTGTGGATCATGAATTCGTTGAGTAAGTATATTACAGTATATGTAACATGTCAAAAGTTACAGCAAATATCTGTTAGATCAGGAGAAGTCACAATGTATATAATTGTCTTGATCATCATAAGTTTTATGACCCACTAGGTAGTCACAGTGACATCACCGAACAAGATTATGTCAATAAACTAATGGGCAGTTGACTTGTAAAAAGATAGATGTAGTAGTTCGCTGCAAGTTAATAAGTGTTTTGTTATCTTGAATTCAAAAGTTTAATTGTCAAATTTGTGCGGTGATTTGAATGTCCACGATCTCAACAGCAAGCACTGCCGTGCAACAGCCTGACACAACAGTCTTAGGACAGCAGTTTTATTCATTATATTTATTCATTTTCTATTTGCCTATTCACAAAAATATCTGCTAATCTAGTTGCGCGTTTGTTTTCATATTTCAAATTGTGCGCTTGTTGGTGTTGTATTAGCAGTAATTAGAGTGGACACAATCTTGTCAGCTGCTTATGCTGCACAAGTGAGTATAATCGTCGTTTTCAACATTTGTATCTGCATTTATTGTTCTGATTGTTGCAGTAATTAAGTTTGCCGAAACTGTTCATACTTAGATTTTCAACATTTTGCATTTGATGTCCAAATTCGCTTCAAATTTGGCAGCCAAGCACGGTTGGTTTACATGGTTCAATGTTCAGACGCCATTAGAGTGGAATGTTGGTGTGATTTGCATAAACCTAGAGGTCTATTATAATTTATTCCATATGATAATCTCTCTTCTAATCAGTTCTGCACATTAGAATGCGAGTTGACATTTATTGCTGGGAAAGGATTGACCAGCTTTGTTATTAGTCCAAGAAAAGTGTTCCGCTTGTAATGTGTCTGAACTCCTCATTTAATATGCAAGAATGTAGGAAAGTACCAAGAAAATTTGTTTTGTGGAGTAAATTGTAGTGTATTTTATTTATGAATGGTCAAAAAATGCATGGAGATTTTATGAAAATGTGTGGATGTTAACAGAATGATGTCGTTTGGTCACAGTTGCGCAATAAATAATGGACTGTTTTGGGCGTAGCTATAAAATGTGTCACTGAAGTACTCACACGTGTGCATGATTCCAAGATTGTTTGTGCTGTGAAGAGATGCCATTGAAAAACAAGTATTGTGTAATTTGTAGTGAGAATGTATTCAATTTATGTTTATGAATCTTGTTTCTTTTCAAAGTTGTATTTATATAATAAAAATTGTTCATGAAAATGTTTTTTTATACCTTTTCGATGAATTGAATTTACAAATGATGAGGTATTTGGTTATATACCATCACTCGAATTATGTGTTACAAATTTCTGATAGTTTAGGCTTTGTGTTCTATGGGCTGTTGTGAAATCATGGTACTGTTTTGGCATTGTACGACTTGCAGTTCCCTTTTGATGTATTTTGTGTGACTGGCCGTGGTGTTTGTAAACTTATAGAACTGTAGTATTATGTAAATCTGCCATTTTCACGCTGCGTCATAACTTGGAGTCATCATCTAAGTATGCACAATTGTTGTCTCGTGTTCCCTAACGCATTTAAAAATCCCTTTTGAATTTGGATGACTTTGTGTGACTGACCGTGGTGTTTGTAAACTTTAGTCGAGCTGTAGTAGTGTGTAAATCTGTCACAATGTGGAGTTGCTATCGTCTCTTGTTTACCAACTTTTAAATACGTTTGTGCCTCAACGAGGACTGAAAAGTGATTTCCATTTACTTCGTCTGTTATAAATCCGACTGTATTAGCTTCCTTCGAACTAACTTCCTATTGCCATCGGAAGCATGTCTACCACACTCGGCAGTGTAGTGCATATCGATCTTCTTGTATATATATATTTATATTGTATGAAATGCACCCGAACCTGGAAATCGGGTTGGTCTCGTCACGTAATTTCTTACCTTGTTCTTGACCGCAGTACGCTTGGCTATGAACTTCCACATATCCACGCTTATGGGAATAGTGCATCATGGTAATACTGTATTGATCTCAGTGGAACAAACGTGGCTGCTGTAGTGCCTGTTGTTCGACTTCAGCGCTCGTGTTCTCTTCCTGTCTTAGAGTTCTCTGTTTTCTTTGATTTTTGTTATTTCAATTAAACCAATTTGGCGATTTGGCTGTGGCCATGCATTTAGTCATTGTCGGCTGTTTTTCTCGAATTGGTTGATTGTCATAGTAACATACGCTAAGTACAATTAAACGTACCGAGTTGAACAGTAGTCATTTCTAAGGTTCAAAATAAACAAACGTGAATATTTAATTTAGTTTAATTCCTTCAGTTAAAAATTGAGTTCACAAAATAAATAAATAATAACATATACTTCAAGTTTTCATTAAAACAAGCTCTTATTTTCCCAGGATCGAGGTGGCTCTGCCAACTCTTGTTAAAATCTGAATTATTTTCACCATTGACACACCTCTATTCACGTAAGTGCCTTTACGACTAATACGTAAGTACGGTAATGTGCATGTACGTGTATTGTCTTGATCATCATAAATTGTGGTCTTCCTTGAAAGGTTTTATGACCCACCAGGTAGTCATGGTGACGTCACCTCAAAAGATTGGGTCACTAAGCTGATGAGCAGTTGAATTGTAAAAAAATAGATGTTGTAGTTCACTGTAAGAATCACACAGCTGTGATTGAAATAGATTTCTAATTGTGATTTGTCAACCCACGATACCCCCCCCACCCCCCCATTGGGTAGGCCCAATCCATTGTTGTAGATTCATTCACTAATGGATGTGACTTTGGTGGTACATTTGGTTCAGGGCCCGAGGTGCTCATGTTCAACCACACCTGGTGGGTGTCGGGATAAATTCATTGAATTACCATGATGCATTTATGATTGGAAGCTGTTCAAACTTAATGGTTTCTATAGCAACATTCATGTATGTACCTGCAGCACTTGCAGTCAAGAGGCAAAAATGACTTTCAATTATGGGAAAAATGAAAAAATTCCAAATTACAAGCACAACTTGCACTTACTTGAATCACAGAAGTCTTTCTACGAGGAAAATAAATAATATTTTAGGAATTCAGTAATTTGGAGTTTATACATGTATGGTCTTGTAACAGAGCCAATATCGTATTCTAAAATAAGAAAGCTCTGGTTTTGACCAATCTCATAGCATTGAATTGTTAATACATTGTAATGTTTTAAATCGTGACTTTAAGTAGGTTGTACTTTAGTTTAGATATTAGTAATTACTGTACTTATTGATTGATGTTCTTCCTGTACTTGTAACTCGTTAACAGTTGTTTCAGTTATAAATTTCAATTCCAAAGCATTTCCATATTACTAGAGGAAGGAACTTTTAGCATACATGTATCGCAAATACAAAAGAAATAAAAAATACTTCACCTTTTTTCCCTAGAACTACCAGTATGTACTAGTGATGATCCTGCCATGAACAGGAAATCACCAAATAACGATTCAAAATAAGTCATTTCCATCAATCCATCACTCCATACTTCCCAAACTCCTCAAATTACTGCTAATGCTGTTGAACTTCTCTCTTAATTGGAATTATCTCTGTCAGAGAGAAATGCCCGGCAGTTACAAAACGAGTTGCTGAGACTAAGAGGGGCATTTTAAATATGATCATGCTTTACATGTACATGTACGTTTTTCCTGATTGACAGTTCTGCGTACTTAGTTGCCATAGATTCAGCTTGTAGTACTAGTTTCCTTTTTGAGCAGGTTTATCATGTTAGGAATTTCTTTCTTTGAAAGTTATTTCGGTTAAAAAAAATTCATCCAGCTTTTTCTGTAATATGCACCATTTGTACTGGAGTGTTAGTTTAGCTAATTTAGACAGCTTTCTTGTTCCTCGACTGATTTGTAAGAGGAGATCTCTCACAACACTACTATCGTACGTGTCGTGTTAGATGCGCTGAAATTACTATCCAGAGTAGATAAAAAACGCAAATCAATTCTTGACTTTTTGTGTTTGATTTTAATCCAATTGTGTTGAATTGCTCGCATACTGAAATGTATCAATGTTAGAAACACGCATGATAGCATATATTTTTTATAATCTGGTTTAAATGCGGTGTACAAACAATATACCGTGGTATTATACGTTGTTCTCTGACATTACTTGGGCTTCAATAAGCTTCATGAAATTTCACCCTTGAATTTGTGGAGAATGCAGATTATCCATTGCTTCTGGAGGGCATGGCGAATCAAGTCTTTCATATGGTCATTGCCGATCAACATTCCTTGGATTGAAAGTCATTATTACAGTAATGACTGAAATGTGAAGAAATCAGAGGGTTCCTTCCTTGGCTACTTTTCTGCAAATAATTGGTTACCATGGCAACTGATGTTAGTCACTGCTTTTGATTAACCTAGTCTTCACAATTGTTATCATGTTTCCTTTATTGTGCTAGAACACAGAAGAAATTGCAAGTATGAAGTTACTTTAAAAATATTTAATTTTCGTTTGTAATTTATTCTTGCTATTTTCGCTGAAGTAGTGATTCAGTGAAAATAAAATCCTGCGAATATACCTTTTTTCCTATATGTTACATTCAACTCATCAGATATCAGTGGAAATAAATTGCATACAAAACACCCAAAAAGTCTTTTCAGCAAATTAAAATTAATTCCAGCTAAAATAAATTATTTCACAGTATCTGTGTGCATATAATCCTCCTATCTATATTTTAACTTTTAAGTTTGTTTATTGAATGTCAAGATGTAGTGTTTAGATGTTATACCTCTCCTATGAGGCAGAACACAGTGGTAGTTTTACACAAGACTACATTGTCCAAATACAGATGTACATGTATATATCAAAATATCGCTTGACTTTTGCTGTATTAACTGACAATTGTCATTATATACTTTAACATGTATGTGACCAACCGGACCTTGAATAGTACTGTATATGTTGTCCTCAATCGACCTCACTTGAAGGACCGTGTAGAGTTATTGGATGCATGCATATGGATGTAAATGTTGAGAGAGGTTCCTCTTTTACTGCTTGAGC